TTCTCTTCATAAATAGAACTATCAACACATTTTAAATAATATTAAGAAAATAAAATGAGTAGAAATATTTTATTTAAGCATATTCAAATGCAGAGAAAATGTGCACACATATACGCGTGAGCAATAAGAAAAACTTGTGCTAAAGTATGGTAATTTTATGTATTTTTTTTTTTTTAAAGATTAAGAATGTAATATAAAATGCTATATACACGGGATATTGAGTAAATTGACGATAATAGTAATTATCTGAAAAAATAATATTTGATAATAATAAAAATTAATAATCTGATAAATATATAATTTGGATAAAAATTAAATAAGTATAGATTTCTATACGTGCTCTTTATTAACTAGTTTTTTCCAATATCATAGAAGAGTTATTTGACATTCAATTAGTGGTTAATAAAAGGTATTATTAATCCTTTTGAGAATAAAAATTAATAGCTATATGGTATATAAATAGTTATTCATGTGCTAAACAAAAAAAAAAAATTAGTTGTTAATTTTTTTTTTTATTTTTTATAAATTTAAAATGCATAAAAAAATATATTTTTTTTTTTAAAAAATGTTTTAAATTGTTAGAAAAATTAAAAAATAAAGTCGTTTATAGAAAAAGCTTCTTGTAGTGTATTTGTTTAAATTTATATAAAATAATTTTATATTAACGATAATAAAATTTTCTTGTTTTGTATTAATTAATTTAATTTGTGCTTCATTAATTACTTATTTTTATTAACTTGAAAAAATTGAACCTGAGTTGCTGAACATTATTTTTAGCATTATAAGTAAAATTTATGTAATTAAAATCAATAATCAACATGAATATAATTTTTTAATAAAAATATGGATTTTTACTAAGATAAATAAAGACATCTCAAAAATAACAAATGCTCAATGAATTTGACTAGATAAATACAGTTTACAGGTTTATAGCATTAAAATTTTATTTATATTCACTAAATTAGTAAAGAAAATTCTACATGTTCTTTATTCATGTGTTTCTTGAACACTCTAGCAAAGCAATTGGATAGACAATTAATATGTTACCCCTATAAACATTTTAACAGACCCTAGTTTAATTTATACATGTCAAAAATTTCAAGAATATGTTACAAGAATATTGTAGATAAAATTATATTGTACCAGCATATGTTATTGACAAAAAAAATAAAATGAGTGAAAATTCTCATAAAAGTTTACATAAATAAAACTTTATATGAAAAAAAAAATTCACCTTTTAAGAAAATAGTGCAAAATACAGGGTTAATTTATAACAATGAATTGAATGGTGAAATAGAGTAGACATTATATCTTTTTTTGTTTGAAATAGATTATTTCTATTCAAGGTTCTAAATATATTAGCATAAAATTTTTAAAAATTAGAATCACTTAAACGATCGATGGAAAAACACATTCGATCTTAATGAAGTTCCGAAGAAATCCATGGTTGAAAATTATGATAATAATGCCGTGGATAATATTTCCTAAGAATGATCAGAATACTAAACAAACCAAATGGGGCCTTATAGTGGTAACACGCAATATAAACTACATTTGTTTTTTATGTGTAGAGTAACTCAAATCTAAAATGAAATTCTAAAATATATACCTATATGCTATAGAGGTAGATATATATAAATTACATTAACAAAAATTAAATAGTGAAGTAATAAAAATAAGAGATATATAAATAACAATTGGAGAATTTAATACAAATTACTAACGTTAGTATGTAAAAACTTAATTTTGGACATTCATTCAAGCATAAGAACTATTTTTATATTTACAATAAGAACAGTGTAATACTTTAAGATATTAGAATGATAAATATAGAAAAGTTAGAGAAATATAAAAAGGTTATAACATAATAAAACAATCTAAATAGAACGAGCTTTAAGTAGTAACTAATACATTTCACTGAATGATAGGTTATTCTTAATAAAAGATATTAACTTTTTTCAGAATAAAAAATTAATAGCTGGATGAAAAGTAAATAGTTATCTATATGGTTAATAAAAGGAATTATTAACCACCTGGTTAATAAAAGGCTTTATTAACCTTTTTGGAAAATAAAAGGACTAGTTAAATGAAGGTTACTGAGTTGGTCATACACACACACACATAAAAAAAAATTGATGATTTTTTTTTTGATTGTACTTTTTCTCAAAAAAAAAGTACAAAGACTGTCAGAAAAAATTTTTATTAAAAAAAAAAATGCAAAGATCATCAGGAAAAAAAATTGATTAAAAAATCAATTCTTTTTAAAATATTTGTTATTAATAAATAAAATAAAAAAAAAAGAAAAAAAGAATTTTTTTTTTTGGGGAAGGAAATGAAATAATTTTTATGATGAATTTTTTAAAAGAAAATTTTATACATATAACAATAAAATTTTCATGTAATTAATATTTGTATAATTTTTGATATTTGTAAATAATTGTTTATGTTTGTTAATTTAACACAAATATATATTAATTGCTGAATGTATCTCATAATAAATAAACTAGTAATTTACAATTAATTAATAATTAATGTTCAATAAGGATTTAAATTTTTAATAAGAATAAAGATTTTTATTAAAGTAAATAAATGCCTATTGAAATTAAAGAATTATGAATGAAGTATATTACGTAAATAAGGATCACTCATTCAAAGCATATAAAATATATACAAATACATCAAAACCGTAGAGGCAACTCTATATGCTCTTTATTAATTTGTTTGTTCAGTGTTCTAATAATGTTACGTAACACCCAGTTAATAAAACATGCACAAATGTATAATAAATAAAAATAAAATTGTTTACTTTAAAATAAATAATCTTAAAAATTAGCACTAAATATATATCGATGAGCAGAATTTAATTAATACATACTCAACAAAATAAAATTACAAAAAATTTAAATCAATAAACGACCAATAACTATAATCATAATAAATTTATATCCTTTTAAAATAACCATTATCCTTTTCCTAACAACATGCATATTCAAAATAAATATTATAAAATTCAACAATAAAATTTTTATAAAATTTATACCATGTCATATTATTCATACAGTCAACTTATCTTTTACCTTCTCTTTATTTTTAATATACTTATTCAATTATTAATCGTAATATCAACTTAAAAATATAAATAAATAAAAATAATAAAAATTATAAAAAATTTTAAATAATTATTAAATTTTTAATAATTAAAATTTATAAATATATTTACAAATATTCATAAAAAAATATGTTTCATCTTTAATATTTCCTTAAAAAAAATAATCAACCTTCATAAAAATCAAATAAAATACTAATAAAAATAAAATAAATTTACTTTTCTCACGGATTTTTTCAGTAAATTATCTATTGTAATTTATCTTGTAAGAGCACAAATATATAAAAAAAAAAAAAATTGAATAAAGTAATTAATTTTATTTTTATTTATTTTTTATTTTTTTTTTATAAAGAAAAATCAATCAGTACCTTAAGTTCGACTCATATTTTCGCTCATTTATTTTTTCGATATAAATATATTTTTTCTAAAAAATTTTTGTTCGTAAACTATTGTTATTTTAATCTTCTAAAAAGATTATAAGAAATAATTGTAAAAAAAATAACCAAATAATAAATTGTGTTTCTTTTTGTTTATAATAGAAAATCCTAAAATTATAAAATACATTTCCTCAAATAATGTTAGATATATATATATATATATGTATATTACCAAATAAAAATTAATAAAAAAATAAAAAATTTAATATAATTTTAACGAAAAAAATAAAGTGCATTACCCACTAACATAAACTAATTTTTTTTTTTTTTTTTTAATACATGTATTTCTATATAAATAAAACTAAATTATAGTGCACTTGTTTGTCACTAAAAACTTAAATATTAAAATAAAGAAAATTAGAGTAGTTTGATCAGTGTTTAAAATTTAATAATTTAACAACAAATAACGTAGCTTTTCATAATTGTAAATATTTTTTCTATTAAACATAATATAATTTATTTATTAAAATATATATAAATAGCTAAAATAGTATATTGTAGTTGCTGATTTTAGAATTTACATATATATATTTTATTAATTTTTCTTTTGCTTATTTTATATTTTATGAAATTATCAATTAGATCCTTTAAAAAAATAATTATAAATTATTAAGTACATTATTTTATTTATGTATAAATTCCATATACTACTTATAAAAATTTACATCAATTGTCAAATTTCATTTTCAAAAAAATTTTCTACAAAAATATTATATAATAATTAAATTTTTTATTCAAAATATCAAAGTTAAATAATTGTATCATTATTTAAAACTTATATTCATATTCATAAATTATATAAAAAATTTAAGAAAATACAGAAAAAATCCTTAACATGATTTCTTTTTTTCATGTAAATTTCATAGAATAATATAATTCTTTACTTTAACTATTGTTTTCTTTTTTTTTTCTTAATGTTAATCTTATAAATTATTTTTTTAATTTATTTATAGCAATTTTTCATTTTTTTTAAAAATTAATTACATTCTTATTATTAGAAAGTTACAATAATTTAATATTTTACATATATAGCAAATAGAAAATTACTTCTACTCCGAATTGTTATTTTATATTACATAAAATAACATTTTCACATATAAACAAATTTAATGATATACTTATTACATAAGTACAAGTGTTCTCATTTCTACATACAAATTATAACAATTTCCTAATGTGATTTAATTATTCATGGTACTGCAAAATAACAAAAATAGTAGTATTCAATTTTTTAGTCAAATTATATTATTTTTCTTTAATTGGATTATTGAATACCTTTTTAATGTATGATAAAATTTAAATGTAAAATAAATGTATATTATATATATTACCTTTTTCTCTTCCTCAAATTTTTGCTTTTATATATTATTCATATAAAAATTTATTTTTCCTAATATATCAATTTTTAAATGTTATTACAGAATATTTTAAGAAAACCTTGTTGGGAAACAACAGCCATGAAAAAAAACTCAACCTCAAAAAATGCAAGATTATTATCACAATTAGAAGAAATTTCCTGCATGTCAAATCAAGGAAATAATGCAATAGAAAACAATGCTACTTTATCTAATGATATAATTAAGCTCAATACAGAAATTCAATCATTTATGGATGATACTCGTAATGAACTTCAATTTTATCTTGAAGACAATAAAATTACTAACGACACAGAAAAATGTCAAAAGGCATCCTCATACATAAATTGGAGAGGAATGGACTATGTTAATTTGTTATTAAGTGAAAGAGAAAATTATAATATCTCCTGTGTTGTTGAAAAATGGAATGAGAAACAAAAATCTTTACAAACAAGTATAGATGAAAAAATGAAAACGTGTAGTACAACAACGTTTGATTATTGTGCTATTTTGAATAAAAATGATAAATGCACTAGACCTTATGAATATAATGATCTACCAGTAAGCACATTATTAACATACGATAAACTAAAGGAAGATACTTATAGTTCTAATAAAACTCAAATTATTGGTGATAGATGGAGTATGTTTAACAATATTACTAATGATATATCTGATTACTATTACAGAATGTATGAAAATGAGAATTCTGAACTTAATTGTGGAAAGTGGAGTATGTATATATATAAGAGAGGAAAACAATTTATTAAAATGGCGGCCAAAGAATTATATGAAGAAGAAATATATGTAAATGATTCTATTACAAGATGGAATCAACATAGTAATATATTGCAATATACTGTGTTAGAAGACACTGGTAATCAATGTAATATGACAACATTTATTCATCAAATTAAAGAGCAACAAAATTCAAATAATCCATATGATTTATCTGGGCTTTTTTCAAAAAAGAATCGCAATGAACCTAATGGAACTATATATAATACAACTCCATTACCAGATAACTTACAACCTACAACTGTAACTCCTAATGTATTGCATAATGATACTACTACAGGTTTATTGGGTGGCAAAACGACTAGTGTCAATATCGTAAATGGTGTGAATTCCTCTGAAAATACATTCACAGGTGTCACCTCAGTATCATCAATGACTACAGATCAAACTTCCCCAGAAACTGAAACCACAATTTCTCCAGAAAACTCAACACAATCCAATTCTTTAACTCAAAATGATACAATATATTCTAATACTAATACTATATCTAACACAACCTCAACATCACCTTTCCCTGAGATTGTATCATCTCCTACAACTAAAACATTATCTTCAAATTCTACTACAAGTAGTGGCACACCAGCAGTTATACATTTACCTGGAGATATATCTGCTACAGCGACTAATGAATATTCTGATACTACTATGAAGACATTTACAAATAATATTACAGCTTCTACAACATCCACTAAATCTCCTGCAACTTCTTTACCTTCTGAAACTGTAACTTTTGTAAATAAAAATATATCTACAAATGGCAATACATCTGTTACGAATGACACAGCATCTCCTATGAATAATCCTTTACCTTCTCCTGAGATTGCACCTTCTCTTACAACTATGACTACGACTCCTACAGATAGCTCCACAACTCCACTACCTTCATCTATTCCTAAAATCACAACTTTGCCATCTACAAATTATTCTATATCTCCTACAAAAGATATGTCTATTCTTCCTACTAAAGAAGTTACTCATAAAACTGCAATTTCACCTTTAACACATAGTTCTACATTTTTTTCGACCAATACCATTGAAAATTCTACTACTACCATTGAACCATTTACTAATAAAATTGCGTCTTCTACAATTGACGCTACAACTCTTGCAATTAATACTACATCTCTAATGTCTGATATTATATCTCCAACTCCACTTTCTTATTCTCCTGATAATACACCTATTCTCACAACTACGACTGCTTTTTTTCCTATAACAAATAACAATTTACCTTCAAATCAGACAGATAGTACCCAACTGCAGATCCCACCAAATACACATGTCCCTTTTAAACAGGTTCAACAACATGTATATGAAAGAAATTGTACTGGAAACATTTCACTATGTCAAAGTGCGACTGATCCAAATACTTTCAAGCCAATCCCATCAAGTGACCCTAATGAAGTTATGCCTACAGTTAAACCTACAGATAATTTATTAATACCAATGGTTTCAGGAGGTATTTTTCTTTTAGGAATTATTTTTCTTTTGATTCTTCTTTGTAAAGTATAATTAAATTAACATTTAAAAATGAAAAAACGTATATATTTAAAATTATAATTACATTAATGAAGAATTTTTATAATTTTTTATTTTTTAATTTGAATTATAGTATACTCCCATTGGATCTTGGATTCGTAATAGGAAGTCAAAAAAAAAAAAAGCAAGAAAAAAGATTAAGAAAATAACAAGGGAACCGTTGCTAATGGATACAAATAATACAAAGAATGAACCAATAAATAATCAAAATTATTCATTCTTACACCATGAAAAGGAAATACCACAATGTGATATGAGTTTGAAAAATCGAAAAGATTTGAAGTATAAACAAGTAAAGAAATCCAAAGCACCTAAAGGAATGTATATGGAAAATGAAAAATATTTTAAGTATGAACATATGAAGAAATCCAAACCTCATGAAGGAATGCATATGGAAAATGAAAATAAGTGCATTCGTGAAGCTGTAGAAGTATCAAAGAAGCATGAAAATGAATTTATATTGAGAGAAAAATTAAATGAAGATAATCCTAGAAATGAAATTAAAGATGAATTAAATAAAAATAGATTAGAAGAAAATCCTGTTCATATTGTAGGGTATATTAGGAAAGATACATTAAATGAGGAAAAAGCAAATGAAATAAATTCACATAAAAAAAAAAAAAAAAAAAAAAAAAAAGAAAAAAAATTAAAGTAAAAAATCTGCTGAATACAAATCTTGAGTTTAATGCATAAAAGATCGTATGAAAAGTCTTTTATTTCAAAAAATGGATGTTCTCAGAAGAAAGACTTAATTTTTACGTAAAATTAGTTGTGGAAAGATTTTAAATTTTCTTTTTTTTTTTCTTATATTCATTATATTTATATATCTGAAGAGAATCGATGTTGATAAAGATTTAAAGGATTCTAGTTTGAGAGATTATAAAAAAATTAAAAAATATATATATATATATATACATCTCCTATAGAATTTATATAAAAATACTAGGAATAATTAATTATAATTTAATTTATTTATTTATAAAAAAAAAAAAAAAAAAAAAAAAAAAAAAAAAAAAAAAATTAAAAAAAAAAAAAAAAAAAAAAAAAAAAAGCAAAATTGTTTAGTAAAATTAATGGAAATATAAAATATACACTTTAATGAGTGAGTTTATTCCATTATTTTTAATTTTGAGAAACTCTATAAAAAAAAAAAAAGGCAAAAAATTATACATTTTAATAACTTAATTTTCTCAAAAATATAATTAGTAATTACTTAAAAAATAAATAAATTATAAACTAAACATCTTATATTTCTTCTTTTTTATTTTGTTTTTTATGTTATCTAAAAATATTCCAATAAAGAAAATAAAAAAATTAAAAAAAAGTTCATATAAATTATAAATTTTTTTGCAATATTAAAATAATTACATATATTTATCTTTGCATGAGAATAAAAAAAAAAAAAAAAAAAAAGGGGAAAAGAAAACTTTATATAATAAAAAAGGATGAGATAAATAGTTTATTTTGTTTAACATTTCTAATTATTAAATAAAATATGTTAAAGTCTATGNATTCGTAATAGGAAGTCAAAAAAAAAAAAAGCAAGAAAAAAGATTAAGAAAATAACAAGGGAACCGTTGCTAATGGATACAAATAATACAAAGAATGAACCAATAAATAATCAAAATTATTCATTCTTACACCATGAAAAGGAAATACCACAATGTGATATGAGTTTGAAAAATCGAAAAGATTTGAAGTATAAACAAGTAAAGAAATCCAAAGCACCTAAAGGAATGTATATGGAAAATGAAAAATATTTTAAGTATGAACATATGAAGAAATCCAAACCTCATGAAGGAATGCATATGGAAAATGAAAATAAGTGCATTCGTGAAGCTGTAGAAGTATCAAAGAAGCATGAAAATGAATTTATATTGAGAGAAAAATTAAATGAAGATAATCCTAGAAATGAAATTAAAGATGAATTAAATAAAAATAGATTAGAAGAAAATCCTGTTCATATTGTAGGGTATATTAGGAAAGATACATTAAATGAGGAAAAAGCAAATGAAATAAATTCACATAAGGAAAAATCTACATGTGATGTTGAAATGAAAAATTTAGGAAATAAAACAACAATCGAGAATGATGTATGTAATTGGAATTCATGGGTAGATATACATATGATTGCATTACTAGAGTGTAAAAAAGAGGAATGGAAATTGAGCAAAACTGAATTTTTTAATATTTGTTTAGAAGAGATCGAAAAAGATGGAGAAAATTCTAATTTAAAAGAAATGGGAAATAATTTTGTAATGAAAATTAAAGAAGAAAATAATACCGATTCAATAGATAAAAATAGTAGTATATTAGAGAAATATAAAAACGAAATGTGGTTTATTAATTTGAAGAAAGAATGGAAACAAGAACAAGAAAAACACTTACAATATTTAGAAGAACATGAAATTAAAAATATGACAGAATTGGGATTAAATAATTTTATTCTAGGTAAGAAAAAAAAAATATGGAAGAAATGGATAGAATGGCAAATAGAGCATTCATACAAATACAAAAATCAGAATTGGTTTATAAAATTGTTAGAAGAATATGAAAAAGAAGAAATTGAAGAAAATTTAAAGGAAGAAAAAATAGAGAAAGGAAGAAATAAAGGAATAGATAAAAATGAAATGAAGAAAAATTTGGAAAGGAGAATTTTGTTAGATATTTATATGATGGTATTAGAGGAATGCATGAAAGAAGAGTGGGAAAAAGAAGAAGAATTTTATAAAACAAACATTATAGAGATAAGAAAATATAAAGATTTGGATGAAGAAACAAACATATTAGATAAAATAGAGAAAGAAAGAAGATGGAATGTTATATCAGAGAAAAAAAAAGAGGAAATAGAAAAATGGAAAAGAGAAAAATGGTTTATTGAGTTAATGTTAGAATGGAAAAATAGTGAAGAAAAATATATTATGGAGACAAATGAAGAAATTTTAGTAAAAAAGAATAAAGAAATAATAATAGATGTTGTCTTAGAAAGAAAAAGCAATATATGGAAAAAACACTGTGAAAATATTTGTAAAAAGTGGAAAGATGATGATAACGATGAGGAATGGTTTACAAAGTTAGTGAATGAATATGAAAATGAAGAGAAAGAATATAAAAGTAGAATTGATAAAAATAGTATAGAAAAAAAAATAGAAAATGAAAAAACCATAGAAAGAGGTGAATCCATAACAGAGTTTAACAAAAAGGGAGAAGAAAAAATGAGAAAATATGAAAGGAATAATTTAGATGAATCATATGAAAAGAATAATTCTTTGATAAACAAAAAAAAATTAAAATGGAAGACTTTAATAGAAATATATATGGTAATATTGGAGGAATATAGAAAAGAGGAGTGGTTATTGAGTAGAGGAAAATTTTTAGAAATCTGTTTAGAAGAATTTATAGAAGATAAAGAAAAATATCCAAAAAAAATAGAAAATGATTTAGCAAGGTTGAGAGAAGGGGAAGAAGACATTAGTACATTGATGATAGAGAAACAAAAACGTTTATGGAAAAATTGGGTAGAAAGAAACAAAAGAATGTCAGAGAAATGGAAAAAAGAAGAATGGTTTATTAATTTGAAAAACGAATGGGAAAAAGAACAAGAAAAATTTGATGAATTAACAAAAGAATCAGAAATATCAGATATAAAAGCAGGAAAAAATCCTATGCTAGAAAAACAAAAAAGAATATGGAAACAATGGCTAAAAAAACAAAGAATGTGGTTTATACTACATAGCGAGGATGAATGGTTTAACAATTTATTAGACGAATACGAAAAAGAGAAAGAACTTAAGGAAGGAATGACTAAAAAAGATGCGATAGGAGCGAAGAAAATTCATGAAAATATAGAGGAATTGAAACAAGAAAGAGATGAAGAAATAAAGAAATATAAAAAAAAAGAAAAATTGATACAAAAAGTTTTGATAGAAATACATATGACGCTATTAGAAGAATGTATGAAAGACGAATGGCAAAAAGAAAAAGAATGTTTTTTTAAAACAATGATGAAAGAGTTGAAATTACAAGAAATTTTAGATGAACATGTTATCATATTGGAAATAAAAAAAAAAAGAAGTAGGAATGCTATATTAGATATTGAAAAAGTGGAAATAGAAAAATGGAAAAAGAAAAAATGGTTTATAGAGTTAATATTGGAAATGAAAAGAAAAGAAAAGGAATACATAAGAGAAGTATATGATGATATGATAGCAAAAAAGAATGAGGACAAAATTAGAAATCCCATGTTAGAAATGCAAAAAATTATATGGAAAAAACACTGTGAAGATATTCATAGGAGGTGGATAGAAAAAAATAATAAAGAAATTTTACAACACTAATTTATTAATAAAAAAATAGAGATAATGAATAAAAATGCAATATTTATAAATAGAGTGTAGGAAAAAAAATTTGATGGAAAGAAACTCCAAAATTAAGTAAAACAATAGAGAAAAATTTAGAAGTAATAAACAGAATTTTTAAACTTTTTGAATGGTTGTTAAGAAATAAACTTAAACATTGCTTGATGCTTAGTTATTTGTTGCTTAATTTACCCATTCATTGATCTCGTTAGAATATTGATTTATTAATTTATTGTATAATAATTTTTCTAATGTTGAACAAATAAATTAAATATATATAAATATAACTATAATTATTTTATTTAGAATAAAATAAATCATTGCATAAATCATTTATTTTTATTAACTAAATTAAATTTTAACTCTCTTATTAATTGTTTTAGCCAATATATACAATACAAATATAATATCTAACGTTATGTTATTTAATCTTTCATGAAAAAAAGAGCAATACCCATCGCATCATCAAAAAAAAAAAAAAATTATTATTATTATTTTTAAGATGAAATTTCTTTTTTTCTATTAAAAAAAAAATAAAAAATAAAACTATTGCCATTTATTTTTTATTAAAATTTCATAGGTTGTCTGAGTAGTAAAATCCAAAAAAAAATAAAATTTTTTTTTTTTTTTATAATAATAAATGCACACAAAAGAAAATAAATAAATGAAATATATTTTTTTTTTTTTATTTGTTTTTTAATTTTATGTTCAATTTTATTATTATCTATTAATACTCTTTTTAAATACTTTCATAGTGCTTTAAATAGTCAATAGAGAGTATGCATAATAATTTTTACTTATTCTTTTTATTATAAAATTAGCTTATATAGATATTTATATACTTATTATAACAGTATCAATTAATAATAAACATAACATATTTGTTATAAAATTTGCGCTTATTAAGACTTTTTTGTAATTTTGCATATAGAACCAAAAAAAAAATTATTATATTTATACATCTCCCAAAAAAAAGAAAAAAAAAATATTTTTCTTTTTTTTAAAAATAAAAACGCATACGTAATGTTTTTTCATGAATATGCTAACAATACCATTTATTTTATACATTGTTCTGCTAAATTTGGGAAAATATTCTTTTAACCACAAAATATCTTGTATTTTATTTCTATACATGCAAAAGTTATTATAATTGTTCTCATACATATATCTCTTTATATACTTTTTAATTATCCTGCATGTAACTACATTGCTCTAAAATGAATTCTATCATTATGTAAATGGTTAATAAAAGGCTTTATTAATCTTTTTGGAAAATAAAAGGACTATTTATATGAAGAATACATAGTTCATAATGCACACACAAAAAAAAAAAAAAAAAAAAATGATCAATTTTTGTCCTTGTATTTTTATAAAAAAGAAAATAAAGACGATTAGAAAAAAAAAAATTGATAAAAAAAAATCAATTGAAAAAATATTTGTTACCAATAAATAAAAATAAAAGAAAAAAAAGTTTTTTTTTTTTTGGGAAAACAAAGTATGATTTTTATGAATTTTGTAAGAGAAACTTTTACATATATAACAATAAAATTTTCACGTAATTAATACTCATATAATTAATTTGTATTGTCACTAATTGTTTATGTTTGTTAATTCAACAGCAATATATATTAATTGTTGAACATAACGCATAACAAATAAACAAGTAATATACATTTAATTAATGATCAATATTCAATAAGGATATAAATTTTTAATAAAAATAAAGATTTTTATTAAAGTAAATAAATGCCTATTGAAATTAAAGAATGCTGAACGAAGTAAATCACATAATTAAGAATTACTCGTTCAAAGCATTTAAAAATATATACAAATACATCAAAACCGTAGAGTAAACTCTGCATGCTCTTTATTAATTTGTTTGTTTAGTACTCCAGCAAAGTCACCGAATACCCAGTTAATCAATCAATTGGCGACAACGGCAAGAAAACCGAAAACAGCACAAACAGAACCGACATTGGATTAGAAGTTCAAAATGGATAAAGAATTATACAACCTTATACTAGATTCTTTTGCGAATATAATAGAATTTAATCATTCATACATATTTGAAATTAGAAACAATCGATATAAGATAAGCGCAAAAATACCACCTGGACTCCCAAAATTTAGTTATTGATCTTTAGAACTATACTTTAGTTGGTTTAGGATATTCGAAATGAAGGCAAAAATGCGAGGAATATCCAAAGTAGAAACATTTATGATATTAGAATCTTTAACATCAAACATCTACCACCAGAAAATAGCTAAATTATCAAGAGACAAAAAAACCACCGATATGTTACAATTTCAAATTAAATTAGGTAAATTAATGTTTGAAGATCCAGACGACAAATTCATTTTAGCAAGGAAGTTTTTTAATGCACCAAAAAAAGTATATGTGAAAGAAGCTATTAGTTCATTTTTTACAACTGTAATTCGTACGTTCATAGCTGTTCATATTTCAAGAAAGAGAATAGCATGGACAGAAAGGATATTTTAAAATGCTTTAAAAGATATATACGAGAGAAATTCTTAAAAGAATTAGATAAGAAGATGGAAATGTATAAACCTTTTACATAGATAAGAAAATATTTCCTAACTGTAACAAATAGAGAAACAAAGACAGATGAGGACCGAAATATCAGTATAAATCCTGCAGATCGGATCTACAAAGACAATAGTATTGATAATGATAAGAAACAAAGTCTTATGAAATGTTATTGTTGTTGAGGGAAAACTATTTAAAAAGATACTGTTTTTACAGAAAAAAAAGATCCAAAATTGTAATGAAATAGGACACACAGTAAATGTATGTAGAAATAAAGTGATTCGAGTTAAAGAAGATGAAATTAAAGGTATAATGATAGATGAAAGATCTGATTTAAATTTTAAAATGATTAAAAATGAAACGAATCCACAGAAAACTCGCCAAGTGCAAAGATACCTTAGTAAACAATTGGAACACCTGGAAGACAAAAAGAAAAATCAAAAGAAAGGTATAAAGAAAATAAACCTAAGGGAAGTGACTAAGAGAAGGATAGAAAGAGGAACAGAGTAAATAAAATATTTAAGGAGAAAGAAATTGACATCGATGAGAAATCCTATGAAGGGGTAACAGATTCAGCAGAAAGTGAATTATCTGTTAATAGGAAAATAGAAATTGGAAATGAAAAAGGACGATGTACGAATGTGGAACAAACAGTAGAAATTAACGGACATAACTTTAATGTATTACTAAATACAGGAGCAGATTTATGTACTGTATCTACAGTTTCAGTCAAAGAACTAGGTATAGAGCCAGACACATCAATACAACCAATCAAGTTTTGTGGAATATATAACGGAGATATTGCAATGAAATATAAAAAGGTTAAAATATTTATGAAATCTTCCATTATAATGGTATTAACCAGATTTGCAATAATAAAAACAAATAAACCCCTGATATTACTTAGCGGTTTAATAATGGACGAATTAGGATATGTCATCATAAAAAAAAAGGATAAATATATATATATAATGGGAGCTAAACCCGAAGTAAAGGAAGATGAATTAGAGAATTTGAATAAAGAAATTATTCAGAATTTTATTAAAGGATCTGAATTAAAAAATCAGAAAAATAAAGAAGAGTTGGAAAAAGTATTAAGAAATAATACAAAATTCTGGAAAAATAAAATCATGGAATTCAACAACAAATAGAATGTTTCTATTCAGGTACAAAGGAAACCTGAGCGTTATAACCCTAGACCATTGTGCGAAGAAATGTTATCAGAATTACATCGAAAAATAGATTAAATGATAAAATTAAAAGTAATAAGTAAAGTCATTAATGAAAATTGTACCTCACCAATAGTAATAGTTCGGAAGAAAACAGGGCAATGGAGAATCACGTTAGATTATCAGTATTTAAATAAATTTATACTAGATGATTTATATGTCATCCCACACATTAAACACATATTTCAAACGTTTTATGGTACAAAATGGTTTTCGAAAATAGACCTCAAAAACGGATTTTGTAATATCACATTTGAGGAAAGTATTAAAACATATACTGGACTTATAGTTCCGAAGAGGGGAACATTTGTATTTAATGTATTGCGATTTGGACTAAAAACAAGTCCTACACAATTTCAAAGAATAATAGAAGATATTTTTATGAAATTAATTCAAGAGTATTATATAGTTATATACATTGATGACCTCATCATTCTTACAAAAACACTATTTTAACACATAGAAGTATTAAAATGAGTATTTGAATTACTCTGTAATAATAATTTAGGAATAAATACAGAAAAGTGTGAACTTTTTAAAACATCTGTAACTTATCTTGGTGGTTAATAAAAGGCTTCATTAACCTTTTTGGAAATTAAAAGGACTAGTTAAATGAAGAATACGAAGCTTGTCATACACACATACACACACAAAAAAATTGATGATTTTTTTTTTGTTTTTACTTTTTTTTAAAAAAAAAGTACAAAGACTATCAGGAAAAATTTTGATTAAAAAAAAAATGCAAAGATCGTCAGGAAAAAAAATTGATTAAAAAATCAATTCTTTTTAAAATATTTGTTATTAATAAATAAAATAAAAAAAAAAGAAAAAAAGAATTTTTTTTTTTGGGGAAGGAAATGAAATAATTTTTATGATGAATTTTGTAAAAGAAAATTTTATACATATAATAATAAAATTTTCATGTAATTAATATTTGTATAATTTTTGATATTTGTAAATAATTGTTTATGTTTGTTAATTCAACACAAATATATATTAATTGCTGAATGTAACTCATAATAAATAAAGTAGTAATTTACAATTAATTAATAATTAATGTTCAATAAGGATTTAAATTTTTAATAAGAATAAAGATTTTTATTAAAGTAAATAAATGCCTATTGAAATTAAAGAATGACGAATGAAGTATATTACGTAAATAAAGATCACTCATTCAAAGCATATAAAATATATATAAATACATCCAAACCGTAGAGGCAACTCTATATGCTCATTATTAATTCGTTTGTTCAGTACTTAATAAAGTTACCTAACACCCCGTTAATAAAACATGCACAAATGTATAATAAATAAAAATAAAATCGTTTACTTTAAAATAAATAATCTTAAAAATTATCACTAAATATATACTGATAACCAGAATTTAATTAATCCATACTCAACAAATAAAATTACAAAAAATTTAAATCAACAAACGACCAATAACTATAATCATAATAAATTTATATCCTTTTAACATAACCATCATCCTTTTCCTAACAACATGCATATTCAAAATGAATATTATAAAATTCAACAATAAAATTTTTATAAAATTTATACCATGTCATATTATTCATACAGTCAACTTATCTTTTACCTTCTCTTTATTTTTAATATACTTATTCAATTATTAATCGTAATATCAACTTAATAATATAAATAAATAAAAATAAAAAAAATTATAAAAAATTTTAAATAATTATTAAATTTTTAATAATTAAAATTTATAAATATATTTACAAATATTCATAAAAAAATATGTTTCATCTTTAATATTCCCTTAAAAAAAATAATCAACCTTCATAAAAATCAAATAAAATACTAATAAAAATAAAATAAATTTACTTTTCTCACGGATTTTTTCAGTAAATTATCTATTGTAATTTATCATGTAAGAGCACAAATATATAAAAAAAAAAAATTGAATAAAGTAATTAATTTTATTTTTATTTATTTTTTTTTTATTTTTTATTTTTTTATAAAGAAAAATCAATCAGTACCTTAAGTTCGATTCATATTTTCGCTCATTTATTTTTTCGATATAAATATCTTTTTTCTAAAAAATTTTTGTTCGTAAATTATTCTTATTTTAATCTGCTAAAAAGATTATAAGAAATAATTGTAAAAAAAAATAACCAAATAATAAATTGTGTTTCTTTTTGTTTATAATAGAAAATCCTAAAATTATAAAAAATATTTCCTTAAATAATGTTAGATATATATATATATATATATGTATATTACCAAATAAAAATTAATAAAAAAATAAAAAATTTAATATAATTTTAACGAAAAAAATAAAGTGCATTACCCACTGACATAAACTAATTTTTTTTTTTTTTTTTTAATACATGTATTTCTATTCAAATAAAACTAAATTATAGTGCACTTGTTTATCACTAAAAATTTAAATATTAAAATAAAGAAAATTAGAGTAGTTTGATCAGTGTTTAAAATTTAATAATTTAACAACAAATAACGTAGCTTTTCATAATTGTATATATTTCTTCTATTAAACATAATATAATTTATTTATTAAAATATATATAAATAGCTAAAATAGTATATTGTAGTTGCTGATTTTAGAATTTACATATATATATTTTATTTATTTTTTTTTTTTGCTTATTTTATATTTTATGAAATTATCAATTAGATCCTTTAAAGATATAATTATAAATTATTAAGTACATTAATTTATTTATATATAAATTCCATATACTACTTATAAAATTATACTTCAATTGTTCAAATTTCATTTTCGAAAAAATTTTCTACAAAAATATTATATAATAATTAAATTTTTTATTCAAAATATCAAAGTTAAATAATTGTATCATTAAGTCAAACGTATATTCATATTCATAAATTATATAAAAAATTTAAGAAAATACAGAAAAAATCCTTAACACGATTTCTTTTTTTCATATAAATTTCATAGTATAATATAATGTTTTACTTTAACTATTGTTTTCCTTTTTTTCTCTTAATGTTAATCTTATAAATTAAGTTTTTATTTTATTTATCACAATTTTTCATTTTTTTAAAAATTAATTACATCCTTATTATTAGAAAGTTACAATAATTTAATATTTTACATAAATATCAAATAAAAAATTTCTTCTGCTCTGAATTGTTATTTTATATTACATAAAATGATTATTTCACATATAAACAAATTTATGATATAGTTATTACATAAGTACAAGTGCTGTCATTTCTACATAGAAATTGTAACAATTTCCTGATGTGATTTATGTATTCAATGGTACATCAAAATAACAAAAATAGTAGTATTCATTTTTCTAGTTAAATTAAATTATTTTTCTTTAATTGGATTATTTAATACCCTTTTAATGTATGATAAAATTTAAATGTAAAATAAATGTATATTATATATATTACCTTTTTCTCTTTCTCAAATTTTTGCTTTTATATATTATTGATATAAAAATTTATTTTTTTTGAAAAATTAATTTTTAAAGGTAATTACAGAATATTTTAAGAAAACCTAGTTGTGATATAATAATCATGAGAAGAAACTCTACCTCAAAAAATGCAAGATTATTATCACAATCAGAAGAAATTCCTTGCATATCAAATCAAATAAATGCAACAGAAAATAATGCTAATTTATCTAATGATACAATTCCTTTCAAGACAGAAATTCAAACATTTATGAATGATACTTATAATGAATTTGAATTTTATCTTCAAGATGATAAAATTACTAATTCAACAGAAAAATGTCAAAAGGTATCTACATACATAGATTGGAGAGGCATGGATTATGTTAATTTGCTATTAAGTAAAAAAGAAAATTATAATATCTCATGCCTCGTTGAAGATTGGAATAAAAAACAAAATTCTTTTGAAACACATATATCTACAGAAACAAATTCAATATGTAATATTGGGAAGTTTCATTATTGTCCTCTTTTGAATAAAAATAATAACTGCACTAGCCCTTATGAAAATAAAGATCTACCAATAAGCACATCATTAACATACAATCAACTCAATGAAGATATTTATTTTAATAATAAAACTCAAATTATTGAGCAAAGACAGGGTAAGTTTCACAATGTTACTCATGATATATCTCTTTACTATTTCGATGCATATAATAAAGATAAATCTGAACTTAATTGCGCAAAGTGGAGTATGTATATATATAAGAGAGGGAAGCTATTTGTTAATATGATGAACAATGAAATTCGTTCCGAAGAGATTTATAGACAGGATTCTATTAATACATGGAATTCTTTTAGTAAGTCTTTGGAAGATTATACATTAGAACAGACAAGTAATCAATGTAATATGACAGAGTTAATTCATAAAATTAAAGAGAGAGAAAGTTCAAATAATCCATATAATTTAGCATGGGTTCTTTCAGATAACAATATTAGTGGATCTAATGAAACATTAGGTACTACAGTTTCATTACAAGATAAATTGCAGTCTACAAGTGGGATGCCCATGATATCACGTGATTTTACATCTAGTCCATTAGATAATAATGAAAATACATTCAGTAGTGTAAATAATAACAGTACCTCTAAAAATACACCTATAAGTACTACATTAAAACCAACAACAGCAGATGACCAATTGATACTAGAACCTACAACCACAGCTTCAGATGTTACAACAAAGATCAATTCTTTAACCTCAGATACTACACCTGAATATAACTTACATACAACTAAATCTTCACCTTCCTCTAATGATCCTTTTCCTTCTACAAGTATTCCTAGTGATGTATATCCTACAGTGGATGCTGAATCTAACACCATTATTTCTATGTCTTCTGTTAATGTACCTTCATCTGATGTAAATAATCATACACATTATCCAACAACTATAACCGCATCTTCTTCAGACAGTTCTACACCTCCTACGGTTGTACCCACTCCTATAACTAAAACTGCATTTTTCACAAATGATTCTATATCTTCAAATGATACCACTGCACATTCTACTAAAATCATTGAACCTTCTAAAAGTTATGATACAATTACTATAACTAATATTAAACCTCTTACAGGTGTATCTTCATCATCCTCTGAAACTTCATCCTCACCTAAAATCATAAATTCTACAACTACCAATTCATCTTTCACAAGTAGCTCTGCATTTCCCACTTCATCCACTCATAAAACTATCACTTTACCTTCTGCAAATGATCATAGGTCTTCATCAAAATCTAACGCTACAAATTCTCTAATTAGTATTAAATTTTCTACAAACAATACTAGATCTTCTTCTGCACCTAAAAGTATATATACTACAACCTCACCGAAATCTTTAGCATCTTCAATTTTCAACACATATCCTAATAATGTAACTAAATCTCCCACAACAATTAGAAATATATCATTATTGGGAACAAAAAATTCTGAAACAGAAAACTTGAAAAATACAACTATCCCTATTATGCAATATAAGAGAATTGCACCTTTAGAAAGAACTTATAATAGTGCATTGAAATATAATGTAAATGTAAATCCTTCGAGTATGACTATTTCAAATAATTCTACTATGCAAACCCCAATGAATAACAAAACTGAAATTACACCTACAGTTAATCCTACGGAAAATGTATTAATAACAGTTGTTCCAATAGGTATATTCATTTTGGGAATTATTTTTCTTTTAGTTCTACTCTGCAGAGTAAGATCAAATTAATAACTAAAAATAAAATAACATATATGCTTAAAATACTAATAACATTAATAAAAAATTTTCCTTAATTGTTTAATTTTTGATTTTCCTTATAGTACACTCCTATTGGATCTTGGTTTCGCAATCGTAAATCAAAGAAAAAAAAAATAAAAAAAAAGATGAAAGAAATTTCAAAGGAACCCATACTAATGTCTTTAAATGATATAGAAAGTGAACCAATATATGTTGGAAAATATTCGTTGTTGCACCACGAAAAACAAATTCCACTATGTGAGATTAGTTTTGAACGTGAAAGAAATTTGAAATATAGACAGATGAAAAAATCAAAAGAATGTAAAGAAATATACAGAGAAAGTGAAAATAAAAGCGTATATGAAGTTTTAGAGGAAGTATCAAACTACAAAAATGAATCTTCAATAGAAGAAGAAAAATTAAATAAAGATGATACTATAAATGAAATTGAAGAAGACGAATTGAATGAAAGTAAATCTGGAAATAAAATTAGAAAAGAAAAATTGATTAAAAGTGGATTAAAAAAAAATGTGGTTCATGTTGTAGGGTATACCAGGAAAAACACATTAAATGATGGAGAAACAAATGAAATAAATGTAAAAGCTGAAAAATCTGCATACGAAAAGGAATTGAAAAATTCAGAAAATAAAATGTCAATCAAGAATGAAGTGTGCAATTGGAATACATGGGCGAATATACATATTGTAGCATTACTAGAGTATAAAAAAGAAGAATGGGAATTGTACAGAAATGAATTTTTAAAAATTTGCATAGAAGAGTTTGAAAAAGACGAAAAAAATACTTATCTAAAAGAAGGGGACAATAATTTAGTAAATATAAGAGAAGAAAATGTTGTAGTTATGACGCAAAAAAATAGCAGTATTTTTGAGAAATGGAAAAAAGAAGAATGGTTCATTAATTTGAAAAAAGGGTGGAAGAAAGAAGAAGAAAAACATTTAGAATATTTAGATGAACAAGATATCGAGAATGTTACAATGAGAGGAATATGTAATCTAATGATAGACAAAAAAAAAAAAGCATGGAGGAAGTGGATAGAAAAGCAAAGAGAATATTCAATTGAATATAAAAAGCAGGATTGGTTTAAAAAGTTATTAGAAGAATATGAAAAAGAAGTTATTCATAAGAATATAAAGGAACAAAAAATTGAAAATATAAGTGTAAAAAAAAAAGAGAAAGAAGAAAATAATGAAATAGAAAAATATGAAATGAGGAAAAAATTGACACAAAAAATGTTAATAGATATACACATGATGGTATTAGAGGAATGTGAAAAGGAAGAATTAGAAAAGGAAAAAGATGAATTGCTTAAAACAAAAACGGAAGGGTTAGGAATACAAGAAAATTTATGTGAAGATGCAAATATTTTAGAAAAAATAAGGGAAGAAAGAAGATGGAATTCTATATCAAAGAAAAAAGAAGAGGATATAGAAAAATGGAAAAGAGAAAAATGGTTTACAGAATTAATGTTAGAATGGAAAGATAACGAACAGAAATATATAGAAGAATTAAATAAAAAAATGTTAGAAAAAAAAAATGAAGAAAGAATAACAAATAATGCTTTAGAAAGGCAGAAAATTGTATGGAAAAAACATTGGGAAGATATTTATAAAAAGTGGATAGAAAATGATAACAAAGAAGAATGGTTTACAAAATTGGTTGATGAAAATGAAAGTAAAGAGAAAGAATATATAAATGAAATTAGTATAAATAATATAGAAAAAAAAAGGGAAAATGAAAAACCTAGGGAAGGAGGTGAATCAATAATAGAGATTAATGGAAAAGTAAAAGAAGAAGTAAAAAAATTTGAAAAGACACAATTAGAAGATGAAGATGAAAAGATTAATTCTATAATAAAAAAAAAAAAATTAAAATGGAAGACTATAATAGAAATACACATGATTGTATTAGAAGAATGTAAAAAAGAAGAGTGGTTATTGAATAGAGGAAAATTTTTAGAAAACTGTTTGGAAGAATTTATAGAAGAATATAAAGAAAAATATCCAAAAATAATAGAAAATGATTTATCAATGATAAAAGAAAAGGAAGAAGACATTAATACGTTGATGATTGAGAAACAAAAACATTTATGGAAAAAATGGGTAGAAAGAAACAGAAGAATGTCAGAGAAATGGAAAAAAGAAGAATGGTTTATTAATTTGAAAAAAGAATGGGAGAAAGAACAAGAAAAATATAATGAAATAACAAAAGAATCAGGAATCGTAGAAATAGAAGTAGGAAAAAATCCTATGCTAGAGAAACAAAAAAGAATATGGAAACAATGGATAAAAAAACAAAGAATGTGGTTCATAGAAAACAGTAAAGAGGAATGGTTTAATTATTTGTTAGATGAATATGAAAAAGAAGAAGAGTTTAAGAAAGGAACAACTAAAGGAGATATGAGAAAAGTAAATGAAATGAAGGAAAATATAGAGAAACTGGAGCAAAAAGAAAATGAAGAAATAGAGAAATGTAGAAAGAAGGAAAAGTTGATACAAAAGGTTTTGATAGAAATACATATGATCTTATTAGAGGAATGTAAGAAAGATGAATTGGAAAGAGAAAAAGAACATTTTTTTAAAACATTGATGAAGGAATTTAAAATGAAAGAAAATTTAGATGAAGATGTAAATATTTTAGAAAAAATAAGGGAAGAAAGAAGATGGAATTCTATATCAAAGAAAAAAGAAGAGGATATAGAAAAATGGAAAAGAGAAAAATGGTTTATAGAATTAATGTTAGAATGGAAAGATAACGAACAAATATATATAGAAGAATTAAATAAAAAAATGTTAGAAAAAAAAAATGAAGAAAGAATAACAAATAATGCTTTAGAAAGGCAGAAAATCGTATGGAAAAAACATTGGGAAGATATTTATAAAAAGTGGATAGAAAATGATAACAATGAAGAATGGTTTACAAAATTGGTTGATGAAAATGAAAGTAAAGAGAATGAATATAAAAGTAAAATTAGTAAAAAGAGTATAGAAAAGAAAAAGGAAAATGGAGAAGATGGAGAAAATTTTGATTCAAAAATAGAAATTAATAATAAAAGAAAAGAAAAGGTGAAAAAATATGAAAAGACTCATCTAGATGATACAGATAAAAAGATTAATTCTATAATAAAAAAAAAAAAATTAAAATGGAAGACTATAATAGAAATACACATGATTGTATTAGAGGAATGTAAAAAAGAAGAGTGGTTAGTAAATAGAGGAAAATTTTTAGAAACCTGTTTAGAAGAATTTAAAAATGAAGATAAAGAAAAGTATCCAAAAATAATGGAAAATGATTTAGCAATGATGAGTAAAGGAGAAGAAGACATTAGTGCATTAATGATAGAGAGACAAAAACTTCTATGGAAAAAATGGGTAGAAAGAAACAAAAGAATGTCAGAGAAATGGAAAAAAGAAGAATGGTTTATTAAATTGAAAGAAGAATGGGGAAAAGAACAAGAAAAATATGAGGAATTAACAAAAGAATCAGAAATAGTAGAAATAGAAGCAGGAAAAAATCCTATGCTAGAGAAACAAAAAAGAATATGGAAACAATGGATAAAAAAACAAAGAATGTGGTTTATAGAAAACAGTAAAGAGGAATGGTTTAATTATTTGTTAGATGAATATGAAAAAGAAGAAGAGTTTAAGAAAGGAACAACTAAAGGAGATATGAGAAAAGTAAATGAAATAAACGAAAATGTAGAGAAACTGGAGCAAAAAGAAAATGAAGAAATAGAGAAATGTAGAAAGAAGGAAAAGTTGATACAAAAGGTTTTGATAGAAATACATATGATCTTATTAGAGGAATGTAAGAAAGAAGAATTTGAAAAAGAAAAAGAAGGTTTTTTTAAAACAATTATGGAAGAGTTGAGAATACATGAAAATTCAAATGAGGATGTTAACATAACGGAAATAAAAAAAAAGAGTAGGAATATAATATTAGAAAAAAAAAAAGAGGAAATAGAAGATTGGAAAAAAAAAAAATGGTTTATAGAGTTAATGCTAGAAATGAAAAACAAAGAAAAAAGGTACATAAAAGAAATATATGAAGAAATGATAGCAAAAAAGAATGAGGATAGAATTAAAAATCCCATGTTAGAAAAGCAAAAAACTATATGGAAAAAACATTTGGAAGATATTCATAAAAAGTGGTTAGAAAAAAATAATGAAGGATGTTTTACAACACTTATTTATTAATAGAAGAATAAAGGTAATGAATAAAAAAGCAAAATTTATAAATAGAGTATAGAAAAGAAAATTTAATGAGAAGAAACTGAAAAAATATGTAAAACAGTAGAAAAAAATTTAGAAGTGATCAATAAATAGAATTATTGAACTTTTTTAATATTTACTAAGTAATTAAGTTAAATATTTTTAGATGTTTAGTTATTGATTCATTATATCCATTTAATGATTTTGTTAGTATATTGATTTATTAATTATCTGTTCAACAACTTTGCTAGTATTGATCAATCAAATTATATAAAAAACGTATAGAGATAACTATTGTTATTTTATTTTGAATAAAATAAATTTTTACATAAATCATTTATTTTTATTAACTTATCTTAAATTTTAATTCTATTGTTTATTATTTAAGTTAATTTATACAATACAAATGTAATGTTTAACATTATGTTTTTTAATACTTCATAAATAAAAGTATAATGCACATCGCATCACAGAATAAAAAATTATTATTTTTCTTTTTAATATGATACTTTTTTTTTCTATTAAAAATTAAAAAAAAATTATTATCATATATTTTTTATTAAAATTTCCTAGGTAGTTAGAGTATAAAACCCACAAAAAGATAAAATATTTTTTTTATATAATTTTAAATACGCACAAAAAAAAAAAAATAAATGAAATATATTTTTTTCTTTTTTTATGTGTCAATTTTTTAATTTTCTATTCAATGGTATTATGATTTATTCATTTACTATTTAAAGACCTTTATAGTGATTTAGCCTGTCAAATTAATAGAGAACATGTAAAATAAACCCTACTTAATCATTTTATTATAAGATTAGCTTATGTAGATAGTTATATACCTAATATAAAAGTATCAATTCATAATAAACTTAACATAATTGTTATAATATTTATGCTTTCTAAGATACATCTTAGTTATTTTTTATAAAAAACTATAAAAATTATTAAATTTATTCATCTCCCAAAAAAAAAAAAAAACATTTATTTTTTTAAATATAAAAATGAATATATAATTTTTTTTTTTTGAATATGTTAACAATGTCGCTTATTTTATACAATTATAGTTCTACTTCATTTAAGAAGATATTCTTTAACTACAAATTATCTTATATTTTTTCTATACACGCAAAAAATATTATAACTGTTTTCATATATATATATATATATATCTCCCTACATGCATTTTAATTATCCTTTATGTATCTACAATATTCTAAGATGAACTGCTATGATGCTGTAAATTATTAAAAAGATCAATGATGTATTTTATTAACTATATTGCTAGTATTGGACAAAAAAAATTTATAAAAACATGTAGAGAAAACTCTATTTATTTTATCTATGATTAAATAAAATATTACTCAAATTATTTAATTTTGCTAATTAATGTCAAATATAAATCACAATAGTTATTTATTAACTTAATTTTACGTAACATACTATAAAATTTAATATTTTACTTTACATTTTTAATCTTTACGCATAAAAAATTATTCTTTACATCATAAACAAAAAATATTAAGGATAATTCTTGACCACAATTTTTTTTTTATATCGATGATTTATTAATTGATCATTCAATGTTATTACTAGTATTGACCAAACAAATTAATGAAGATTATGTAAAGAGAATTTTACCTATTTTACTTTTATTTAATTAAGATATAAATTAAACTATTCATTTTTATTAATAAATATTAGGTTTTAATTACGTTAGTTATTATTGTTGTTAATTTACATAATATCCCATCTATACCACATTTTACATTACATTTTTAGTTTTTCATAAAAAAAAATACTTTACATCTTTATCCTAAAAAGACAGAAAAATATTTTTTTTTAATGTGTTATATTTTATTTCCAAGAGAAAAAAAAATCCTTATAAAAAAAAATTAGTTTTTATAACAAAAAAAAATAAAATGAATATTTTTTCTTTTTAATATGCCATATTTTTTTTTAAAAAAATAATATAAAAAACAAAAATTTAAAGCGTTTTTTAAGTCTTCTTCACAAAAAAAAAATATATTTTTTCTTTTTTAATTGTAAGTACATATAAAAAATATTATAAGAATATATGTATCCTTTTTTTTTAGTGTACCTTTAGAGAAAGTGTATTTATTTATTTATTATGGTTGCAAATATATATTTTTTTTTTTTTAGTATACACGATTATATTTTCATATTTTCCACATATTTTATAAATGACTAAATAAAATGTTATTATTCATTATATTTTATTAAATATTATTTAAAACAGGTTGATAATATTATTTATAGTCTACTTGTTTATTAATTTGTTATTTTAATACTAGTAAAATTATCGATCAGGAGTTTGGTAAATCACATTAGTTTATATTTATTCTTAAATTGTTATCATTAATTAATATATATACCTTTCTGAGTACTTTGAAATATTTGAATGTTCTTAAATTAAACACATAAAGATACCTTTAATCACTATTTGTAACTGTGCATGACCAATTTTTAATGAAAATGAAAATATATTAAATACATATCATTCATGTTTGGGTACTATAAATTCTGTATGTTGATAATTATTTTCATCTAGTTCCACATTCCAAAGTATTTTTTTAATATCTATCTATGAAAAACATTTAATACCGTAAAATATCTTTAATATATCTTTCATATTAGGTATAACATATAAATCATCCAATACACATCTATTTAAATATATATAATATATAGTGATTACCTAACTGACACCCTTTTTACTAACTAATTGGTTAATAAAAGGCTTTATTAACCTTTTTCGAAAATGAAAGAACTAGTTAAATGAAGAATACATAGTTGGTCAAGAACACAAAAGAAAAAAAAAAAAAAAAAAAAAGAAAAAATTATTTATTTTGGAATGAAAGATGATTTTAATTAATTTTTTAATAAAAACTTTTATATATATAACAATAAAATTTTCATGTAATTAATATTCATATAATTTATTTGCATTTTTACTAATTGTTTATGTTTGTTAATTCAACAGCAATATGTTTTAAATTGCTGAGCATAACTCATAACAAGGAAACAAATAATTTACATTTAATTAATAGTCGATATTCAATAAGGATTTAAATTTTTAATAAAAATAGGGATTTTTATTAAAGTAAATAAATGCCTATTTAAATTAAAGAATGCTGAACGAAGTAGAGCACATAATTAAGAATTACTCGTTCAAAGCATTTAAAAATATATATAAATACAACAAAATCGTGGAGGCATCTCTACATGCTCTTTATTAATTTGTTTGTTCAATACTCTAATAAAGTCACCGAACACCTAATTAATAAATCACATATCTACTTATATAACTGTGATCTATAGTAATTTTCCATTTGACATTTTTTTTACGAACGAATACCATAGATAAAATCCATTTTGTACTGTTGATCTATAAATATCTTTGCCGACTTGTTTATAATAATATTTAAATAAATAAAATCAGCAAAAACATCTTATCTGTGCATATTAGAACAATGGGAAAATATGTACACCAAAAAACAATAATACTTGCTCAGAAAGTAAATGCAACAGAAAAAAATATAGATATGCTTTATTTTATTTTTTTTTTTATAATAATTTTTTTATAATTTTTTTTTAAAAATAAATTAACATCTTAAAAAAAATATTTTTTTTTTTTGATGGAGATGATGTAGGGTATTCTTTTTTGGAAGATAAATAATGCAATGTAAAAACGTGATATACATAGCATATCATGTAAATTAATAACATTAATAGTTAATTAACTCAATTATTATTTTATATTAATTAATGAAAGTGAATAATATGTATTATAATTTAATTAAAAAAAAATGAAATAAGTAAAATTTTCTCTATACGTTTTTTATTATTTTGTTTTTTTCATATTACTAAAGTCATTGAACGAGCAATTAATAAATCAAGTAATGTATAGCAAAATTGATAAAGAGAATGTATAATTTTCTCTGCTAATTTAACGAATTTAAATATAATATTAATGATATAAAATAGTAAACTGTAAATTATGTAGCTTATTGAAAATTTATTTACTTTAATAGAAATCCTGTATTTTTTTTAAGGACATAAATTATAATTAATCATTAATTTGTAAGTACAAAATACTCAATTATAACTTTTCATGAACAATTTTCAGTTATTCAAGTTCATTTCTTTTTAAAAGAGAAAAAAAAAAAATTTAAATTATATTAATATTACTAACAGTGAAAGCTTTACTATAAAAAATATAAAATTTTCTAATGAAAATTTTTCTTTCTAAAAATTTTTTTTCTCTTATCATTTTATTTTATTTTTTTAAAGAAAATAAAATATATATTCATAAAAAATATGTAAAGCAAAATATACATTTTTTTTTTTTTTTTTTTTTTTTTGGCTAGCGCCCGTGCATGGTTAATTGTGTATTACATTTTCAACTATTCATTTTTATTCTCATAAAGGTTAACAAAGTTTACTGTTAACCAGTTATATAGTTTTTTATCTTTCTATCTCCTTTTTTTATTTAATTTTTTTCCCTTTCTTTATATTGACATAAAAATTTGTCATAATATAGATGAAAATTTTCCAAAATTCTATCAATTAATTTTATTCTTTTTCACTTGTAATACCATATTAATGAGTCATTGATAGTTGTGGGCACAAAAACAATGAAGTATTTTTCCTAAGAGCATCCACTTCCTTAACTTGACATTTTTTAATCATTTCATCATTTTTTTTAGAAAGCAGTTCACATATTGATAGAATGATGGCATTATACCATATATTATATATGTTCTTGAAATAAACCAACACATCATATTTATTATTCTTTTCACTAGATGGATAATGTTCTAAACGTTCCTTAATACAAGTTTGTTTTTTTTTCAATATGCCACTCTCTGCTAACATTCTTTCATCTTTTAACCTATTTTTTATTTGTAGCGTATCTTTATAATTCAAAGACCTATTGAAATCATACTATGGGATAAAATAAAAATTATTTAAAATTTTTTTTCTATTGTTAGAGTAATAAATTAAATAAAATTTTAAAAATGGTTAGAAAAAAAATATATTCATATGTATTTTTTTATATGAAAATTATCTTACATTGTAAAAACAATGGAATATCCAAATTAAAAGAAGAAATATAAAAATCTTTAAACATAAAGTAAAGGTTTTCATTCTATTACTTTTATTGTATAACATTTAAGTTAGAGTTATTAAGCTAGATACAAAACTATTTTTATCTTCAGTATTGCTAAGTTAAAAATTTGTAATATTGCTTTAGTTAATATTATGATCTTTGTAAATTAAGTTTTTAAGGTAATAAATTATATGTTTATATGAAATATAATTCCTAATTTTTCAGAATTACACATAATATTACACTTGATTTATTTATGATCAATATTGTTAATTTTTCAAAAAAAAAAAATAAAATAAATAAGCATGTATGTTTGTGAGTTAAAAAAAACGTTAAAATATGTAAAGTTATTTTAAAAATGTTTCATTAAAATTATACTCATCCTTAAAGTAGTTAAAAAAAATTATATATTGTTAATTTAAAACAAATAAAAATTGTAAGTGTTATATTTTTAATATAAACCAACTTTTTTTATATTTTTTTTCTCTTAATCACCTTAAACTTTAAATTATCTTGTATATAGTATTTATGATTTATAGATATAAATTTATACGTATTAGAGATATTATATCTGCATCAAAAAAATAAAAAACGTTTAATTAAAAATTGTTCTATGCATGTGTTTTTCACGCAATATACTATATTTGTGGTCATTTTTATTTTAATATGAAACTAACTTTTTATTGTTTATATTTTTGTTTTAAACGTAACTATTTTGGTTTTTCTATTATACATTTTTTACTTTAATGTTTTTTTTTATTTTCGTAATTAATAAATGTTTATACAATATATATATGTATTTGTATTTATTTTTTGTTATTATAATTATTTCTTAAAAAAATTTTCTTTTTTATATATTTCATGCATAACAAAATAAAACAAAATCGTGAAATGCACAAATTCAAAAAAAAAACTGAAAACATACCTATTTTAAAGAAATTATAATAATATATCATATAAAAAGCGCTTTAAATGAATTAATTACACTTTAAAAAAAAAAAACTATTTTTTTAATTATATATATATATATAGGAAAAAGCACGTTTCAAAAAATGATTGTTTATTTTTTTGAAAATTTACTTTTTTATTTAATCTAAAAACTACGAAGAATATTCTTTTTTATATGAAACATATTGAAAAAATATATTTTTATGAATTTTTTTTTTTTTTTTAACTAATAATAATAAATATAAATTTTAAATTTAATAATACTGTTATTTATTATATTAACTATAAAAATATAATTTTACTTAAATATAATGAATTATTTCCTAAAAAAATACAAGTATATACCTTATTATTGGGATATAAAATGTATCAATTAATAAATATAACACAGAATTATAACGTAACCTTTTGCATGTACATTATCATAATCTCCTAACTAAATAAGAAAAAAAAAATTTTATCTTCTTTTTTAGATTTTATATGCTTAATTTATAACTTTTTATTATCATGATAATGCATATATTTTATTTTTTGTTTTATTTTATTTTATTTTATTTTAGTTTTATTTATTTATATTGTAACTTTTTTGCATTTCCTTATATTGTTTATAAAATTTAGCTAACTCAATTATTGAGTTATAAATAGTATTATCTACTTATTTTAAGTAAGGTTTAAATAAATAAAATGAAAAATAAACTTTTTTAATCTTTTTTATTAAAATTCAGGGAAATGTGAGCACATAAACACTTAAAGTACGTATACTAAAAAAATATATTTTCACTAAAAGTAAATTTATTTTAAAAAAAAGTAGCTGCACTAAAAGTAATTACATTTAAAAAAAATACTTGCTCTAAAAGTATATACACTAAGAAAAAAATATTCATATGTTGTTTTATTTTTTTATTAAAAAAAAAAGTATGATATTTTAAAAAAAAAATTTTTTTTTTGAAAAATTAAGAGTGTAATATAAGATGTGATATACATGAGATATAGTTTAAAATAACAATAATAGTTATTAATTTATACATTTAATATTTGATATAATTAATATAAATGAATAATATGAAGAAAATAAAATGAATAGAGTTTTTTCTACGTGCTTTATATTAATTTGTTTGTTTGATACTAGCAAGGTCATTGAACGAGTAATTAATAAATCACTTATATAAAAACAAAGAGCTCAACAATTGTCCCTCTTAAATATTAAGTTTTCCTTAAATATTTAAGTTATATAAAATATCTTTGTAAACATTAATGAAGGATTTTATTAAGAATTTTTATGTTTTTAATTTAATTTGTAATCATCTTTGATATACCATAAATAAAAAAGTATATTCATAAATACTATCTTTTTATTATTTTAACGCTCATTTTTCTTTAGAAAATATTCTTAAGTTTAATAGAAGTGTGTTTTTATGATTTACGTATTTTTAATATAATATATAAATGCAGTTTTTGTAACTAAAATTGTGTAAAATATAAAAGTATCTTACATTTATATATACTGCTTCATTGTATTAAAATCTTTTAAATAATATATGTATTGAATATTTAAAAATTAAAATTATCCAAATAATAATCCACTAAATGTAAAAATTATTGCAATTATTATAAGTAAGGTAATGTTCATAAGGAAAAAAAAATTATTTATAACTCTTACTTGGTAATTGTAATATTAATATATAAATAAATAAGATAGTCAATGATATAACTATTAACAAAAGATAAATCATACATAAATAATCATTTATATATACGTATTCTCATAGTTATTTTTATAAAAATAAATAATATATATTTCATTCTTATAATAATGCATATGAAATAATCATAGTAGTGTAAAAATAACATCTATAGCAATAGATAATGTATATATTGTTAGTAAAAGGTTTTACTAACTTTTTTTTATAATGAAAAAATTTCTATATGGAAAATATATAGTTGTCTATACGCAAAAGCTAATTAAAAAAAATAAATAAAAAATAAAAAATAGTTAATGTTTTTTTATATATTTTTCTTAACATAAATTACTGATTATTTTTTTAATTTTGGAAGATATGCATTTTATTCAAAAAAATCTTAAAATTTTTTTTTAATATTTTAATCAAAGAAAATTTTCTATTTTTGAGAATTAAATTTTCGTTGTTTTTTTTTTTTTTTTTTTTTTTTTTTATTTTTGCATTAATCTAAGTAAATCTATAAGTTTGTATATCTTCTTTAAATAACATTCACAAATAATAAATGATGAATTTAAATTTTTAAAAATTTAGAAGACTTTAAGTGCAACACTTAAGAAAGAAAACATAGAAATAATTTACATACAATTATAAATTTTTTTTACATAGAAATTTAAAATCATTTTATAATTTTCATATATATATATATATATATATATAAATATATATATATATATATTTATTTATCTAATATTAAATAGGNGTTTTACTAACTTTTTTTTATAATGAAAAAATTTCTATATGGAAAATATATAGTTGTCTATACGCAAAAGCTAATTAAAAAAAATAAATAAAAAATAAAAAATAGTTAATGTTTTTTTATATATTTTTCTTAACATAAATTACTGATTATTTTTTTAATTTTGGAAGATATGCATTTTATTCAAAAAAATCTTAAAATTTTTTTTTAATATTTTAATCAAAGAAAATTTTCTATTTTTGAGAATTAAATTTTCGTTGTTTCCAGCAAATAATATAAGTATGTGTTTTTATTATTTTAAAGAACTGACTTGAGTTTTTAAACACTAATCGTTATAAATAGTAATTATATGTTTTGTACTTAAAAACTAATAATCAATGAGGATTTATGCTTTCTATAAAAATATAGTGATTTTTACTAAAGTAAATAAATAATCAATGATATAAATTGCATAAATACAGTTTCTGATTTATAGCATTGATGTGTTACTTAAATCAATGAAACTCGTAATAGTGACTCTACATTCTTTTTGTTAACTTGCTGGTTGATTTATTAAATGTCTATTCAATAACTTTTTTGTAATATTGAACAAACAGATTAATAAAAAGTATGTAGAGTTTTCTATATTTATTTAAAGAATTTATATTTAGTTTTAATTCTAAAAACCAGTAAACTGTGTTTATATATTATAAATCTATTATTATTCCTAAGAGGCATTTATTTACTTTGGTAAAAATACTTATTTTTATTAAAAATTTATATCCTTGTTCATTATTAATTTTTAATTAATTTAATTTTACTTATAATGTTATGAATATTGTTTGGCAATTCAAGTCCATTGATTTTAACAAATATAATTAAATAATGAAATATCAATTAAATTATATAAATATTAAAAAATATGAAAATTTTATTATTATTAATATAAAATTTTCTTATATAAATTTAAACAAAATATACTACAAGAAAATTTTTTATACAACCTTTCATTTTAATTTTTCGACAAAAAAAAATCATTTCAAAAAAATAAATGTATATATGTCTTTTAAATTTACAAAAATGAAGCAAAAAAAAATTAATTTTTTTTTTTTCTTTTATCTTGTTCTTGAACGGCTGACTATTTATTTTCTATACAACTATAACTTTTTATTTTCAAAAAGTTTAATGGTTTCTTTTCTTAAATACTAGATAAAAAAAAAAATTTGGTTAATTTTTTTTGTTTTTTTTCTTTAATTTAAATATATAAAAAAAAATATATTCATTTTTTAAGTGATGTAATTAATAGAGGAAAAAATAGAAGAAAAATTGTTGGATAAAAAGCTTCTTGTAATGAATATTTTTTCGAATTTTTATAAGTAAATTTTATATTAAAAATAATAAAATTTTAATGCTCTGTAGAATTCAAATAATTTATTTTGAATTGGGGTTAATTAATTATTTTTTTTAATTTAAGATCAATGAATTTATGTTGCTAAATATTACTCATAATGTTATATGTAATTTAAATCGATAATTAATAAGAATTTAAATTTTTAATAAAAATACATGGTTTTTATTAAATTAATGTCTTTTAAGAACAATAAGTTGTCAATGGAATAAACTATATATAAAACAGTTTACTGGTTTATAGCATTAAAATTAAATTTAAATTCAT